ATGACTAGAATCAGGTTTTATCGTACATTTTAGCAATATAAGCGATCTTCACAGGCATTAGTAGGTCCCCTTATCTTCAAATGCAGGCATTAACTTAATAATGAACATTTCAAAAATCTGTGCTGTACAAGTAATTTGGGATGTATAAGGTTTGTGCAGATCACTTTTTCTATGCTCATTTCTCAAACAAAATTTCTTGCACCTATCTTTCTTTCCTGTACATTTTTAACACACATTCCAAAAGCTCTCCTTTTTCTGATGTGCATTGGAAGAGGCCCTAGATATAGATTTTGAAACAGGCACCCTCAAACTTAAAATTTTTTGCATTCACTTTCTGACCTGATACAATATGCTTAACTTTTGAAATTGATTTGTTTCAACTTTCATGCAAACTTCGTCTTCCAAATCACCATCAGGCTATGAATTGTATCTTCCTTACAAACACAATATTGATTCAAATACTGTATTTTCTAACTTTATTCATATCTTACTACAATCACTGCACATTTTGGCTTTCGTCCACCTGCGCTAGTCAATCATCACTTTCTAAAAATGAAAGCGAAACAAATTGTTGAATCAAGGTCATTTGATCTTTCGTGATCAGCCAATAGCGATGAAATGGCTCCTCAATCTCTTATATTTTTTTTCCGCATTAGGAGGTTTTGATCCAATTGAACGGTGTTTCAAGGAGATCTGTTTTTTTTCATCCACATGATGCACAAAAAGATGTACTAAATCCGAAAAAAGAGACGTAAAAATTACAGATATTGCGGTTTTTTGCTTAATGAAATGAAAGAATTCAGAAAATTCTGAGGGACGAAAACAGAGGACACAGAATACAGTTCAATAAAAAGTGGAAGAGCCTCGGTTTGTAAAATTTCTTGGAATGATATTCGGTCTTGAGTGATGACGAGCTGCTTTTCAAATTCATGTGGACTTTTTTTGTTGAAGAAAGCTGTCATCCGCCATTGCTTTCAGGAAAAATCAAGTTTTTTTTTACTAAAAAAGGCTTTTTTCGTACCTCGCAGCTATAGTTTTTCCAGCAAAGACTCTATAAGGGCTTCACTGCCTGCAAGTTGTCATTTCTCTCACCATTTTCCCAGACATAATGTAATATATGCCATAAAACCGTCAGAACATTTGATGTCTATGAACACTTTGCATAGCCAATGAGTTCGAGACAACCGAGCGCTTTGTCGACGTCCGCAGGGCATTTCGGAAGTTCGCGACGTTCTTTCGGAAGATTGCAATTCGTAAGGCCGAAGTAGATTAGGTGTATGGGAAATTGGTCATGGTCGAGAGCTAGTGGGGCTCCTCAGGGAGCTGTGAATCTTCTTTTAGACGCAGAAGTCGGTATTTTCCACGTTCGCACTTTTCCTACTGGTTTTTTGTTAAGTGTGAATTCTTTTTGTATCGGTTTGATATAAAATAATAAGATCAGTGTTCTGGTTTTTGAAATAAAATTACTGAATTCGTTTCGTTCCTGTTTCTAGACGAAATGAAAAAATTTATATTTTTGCTTGGAACCTTCGTAATGAAAGTCTCGAAACCCGATTATCTTAACAGCTTATTGTTCGGAGAGGTAGAAAAAGGTTTCACAAAAAAGTGTATGGCTTGAAAACTGTGGAAAGAGTTTTTGGAAACTAGGTTATACAAAACTGACTTATCAAATTATTATTATTACGTCATGCTCAACTGTCGTTCTATCATAAAATAATCATAATTTCATCACTTATTTCACTATAATCTCTTTTTTAACGTTAGTTTATGGTTTCTCAACTGATCTTTCAATAACGCAGTTCTAAAAAATTATGAGCTTTTCTTTCTTCAGCAAAATCGTTTGATTTGAAACATATTAGGTTGTCCCGAAAGTTTTGTCGGTTTCTTCCATCGCTCACCAAACCTCACAGAACACCAATCCATGAACGTCCTAGGTGTCATTCTATTCATTTTTTTGTCCCCTTTCTTATAGCTATATTTGTTCCCTGATCTATTCCGTCTTTGCGATGTTATCGCAATGGCTTTTTGAGCATCTCAGCAGTAGCACCAGAACTTTCCTGAATTTTCAAAATTTTTATCTTGATATTTTCGACGAGCGCTGGTGACTATTATGTAGGGCAAACCTTTGGCTACATCGTACCCATTTTAGATTACGTGTGCCACGTTTATCAAGTCCGTAATAATTGTTTATTTGAGAAAAACCGCGGCTTTTTGAACACGTTTTACCACGTAAAATTACCGAAAATTCCAAAAAGCTGATTTTTGAAGCGAATTAAACTTGGTTATGTTGCATAAATGATGTTTAATAACAAACAAGTTTGAATTCGCAAAAACTTCAAAAGCTTTCATGTTTTTGCTGCAATTGCGCGTTTCATGACTTTGCTAAAAACCAAGGCCTCCGGAGAAATAATTTTTTGAAGTTGAAATCAGCATATTAGGAGTATCTAAAAACATCACCTTGTAGCCCGAGAGTTGCTCTATTTGACCCATACTTAGTCTTTTCCGAAACTTTGTAATGGAATTTTTAAAAATCAGCTCAACTTTAAGCGGGTAAAATTGACAGGTGGAGAATTTTGGCAATTATCAAAAAAAGCATACAAGAATATGGTAGGTTATGTGTATCCATAAGAAAGAGAAGGAAAAGCTGCATCGAATGCATGCTGAAACTCACTCAGGTCTTTATTGTGCGTGGTTTTACAGTGGTTTGAAAAAACCGACAAAACTTTCGGGACAACCTAATATTTTAATATTGATAGTTTTTTTCAATTTTTTTTTCATTTTCAATTGCGAACATCGAAATTCGAAAGTCTACTAGGATCTAATTTGCTCTTGTATCTGATAATATGACCTGGTCTTTCTAAGTAAGAAATTCGCGCTGTTCCAATAAGTCCGCAAGTATTTACAATGTTCGATATTTAGCCATTCATACTGCTGAAACAAACAAAATTATTATGTGCAATGAGATAAAAATTTACTAGATGTCCTTATAATTTGGAATATTTTAGTAAACATTTTCGAGACGAATTTTCCACACTTTTCGGTGCAAGACATTCGCGTCAATCTAAGTAGATTAATCACAAGATACAGACACTATACGACCTTTGACAAAATTAATTCACTCTAGAATCTGCGCTTTTTCAGATAATTTTCTCTCAAAGCACATTCAATCCCGTCCCGTGGGAATGTCCTGCTTGTTTCCCATCTAAGAAGAGTATACGGAAAGTTCTTCACACGTTATCAAGTACAAATCTATCTATAACAGAAGTAACAAGGGTTTCCTATGCTCTCACAAGTGTAAAAAGCCCCTGAGCAAAGAGGGAAGGGGCATAATCATCAGTTTGAGACGTGCTTGTGCTATTATTACCCTAATAGACACCTTGCGTTTCGTTGTAACAAGCGGGTAAACGAATAGCTCTCATCGATTTGGGAGAAAAACATGGTGTACATAGGGTTTTACCTTTCAAGGCTAGGATTCACATGTTTGTGGCATTCCTCGATGTATCGTTTGCTTGAAATATCATTTTGTTTTTATTTTCATAACCCATTGATTACTCTTCGATGTTCTAATGTTGGGAGAAAAATAGACATCATCCTTTTCAACTTTCGGGCTAAATTGCTTTACTTTTAAATGGATCAATAAAGCATAACCATGAAACAATATTTTCTGCTGCTCCAAAGACTCAAGCAAATTCAGCATAAAATTAGATTACTCAGAAACAAGAAATCAGCTAGTTTTTCTTCTTGATGAAAAGCTTCGAGAAAGAGCTAGAATTTGAAAGAAAGCTAGACCTAGAACTTGAAAGATAAACTTTTAAAACTTTAACGAAATCTCGTTCAGAATACATAGAACAATATGCTGTTGTCGGTTTCTTGTGTTTTTATTTACTTTTATTCTGACCTTTTCATGTATGACACAGTTTATTAGCACCAAGATTCTTACTTTGGTTTTCCAGCTTTTTTGCCCTTACTCCTAAATATTCTGGCTTAGACTCAGATGACAATAAAAAATTTTGTTGCTCAGTACTTCACACTTATAATTCAAATTTACTATCAAAAAACATTTTTGTTTTCGTTCTGTAGATTGTAACGATGACGATTCTTTATTCATTTCTGTTCCCTGAAATATCAGAACATCTCAACAATTTGTTGCAAATTCGAGCAGAAAGATCTTTTTTTTTGCAAAATGCAGAAAAGGGCAATCTGTTTCGCAGTAAATCTCAGCACTTGCTTATCTTTCTTTCTCTGCTTAATTGAAGCGATTTAGGATAGAACACAAATCGTAGTAGATTTTCCATAGAAGTTATTTCAAAGCACTTTCACCGTTTCTCGTATCCATTGAAAATTATGTTTTTAATAAAATTGAAATTTATAAAGGCAAAAATTGCACTTTCTGTGAAAACTTCCAATTGTTAAGAGATTATCTCAAATAAAAGAGGATGTGGTTCATCTTGAACCACAACTAAATTAGAAGTTGTTGAAGCTTCCAACCTTCCAAAGGCCGGTCTTTGAAAAATATGGCTTGAGTATTTGTCTTTATTGCTGCGATATAACAACGAAAATGATCTTTGAACTCCACCAAAGCTCAGATTTCGTTTCTCAAAGTTAAAGACTTCAGAGTTGATTTTCAATTACTTTGCCGCAAAACTTCCGTTCCATTCAACACAGAGACTGCGATTGAACAGCATTCTGTTTCCCAGTTCTTTTTCTCTGGATAAGTGCATTCCGGTTGAGTTTCAACCAACAATTACCGAGATGCTCGAACACATCTCTTTTGGCTGGAACGAAGCTCCTCAGTTCTTTTTTCGAAGGTGTAGCGTCATGTATTTTTCATATTGTTTGCAGAGTATTAGCACTTTAGTGCAGCTTTCTTCTACTTTTGAATGTACATTTCTTCTCTACTGCATTCTAATGAACATTATTAGTGTACTTTTAGAGATAGTAGCTCATTACAGAGAGTACCGTCAAGCAGCATGGTCGCTTTTCTCGCTTTACTTCTTCAGATGTTCACAGAAATTCTGTCGTCGTCTAACGACTACCCATGGAGTTACGATTATGACACTTACCAAGGTAAGCAAGGAATTTTTTTGCTAAGCTGGTATCGTGTTGCTAACAAGATATTCTCTTACGAAATAGAATGAAAACACAAGTGCATTGGAAAGGGATGACTTGATAATGGCTGAATGCTGGATTGATCCAAGATTCTTGCATCAAATCATATGAAAAACACGTTTTAATCAAGTCTTGATAAACGTTTTGATTTATGTTGTTTATGAAAAAACAACGTTATACTTTACTAAATCCGCTCTGCACATCACTAGGAAAGAGGCCGTAAACCACATTAAATGCTAAAGCGAATTGTTGGCTACTTCATAATTTTTGATATCAAAACTTCAAGGAAAACACTAGGGTTTTCTTTGTAAGTTTGATCTGTAAATTCTGATTTGAGAGACTAGAAAATTTACGACTCTCTTAGTCTTTGTCGGTGAGAAAATTTGCTGAAGAATTGTTACGCTGATCGATTCGATTTTTTCGAATTAGGCGTAAGCTGCCACTGTCTTCCTTTCGATCAAAAAGTTTTTTTGTTGCTTTACCTCTCTTAGTTAAATAAAAAAAAACCATATCACTCTCACTTATACATGCGCATACATACGCATACTTTGGCTTCTTATTTTGGGATTCGTGATAATCTGGGCAGTTGCAAACCAGACGAGTCTGATCAATGTAACTTTGAAAATACATGGAGTCGAGAGTATGCAATGTTTAAGCCAAACTTTCTCACGAATCCAATTCTCTAGAAATATCCAGCTCTCCGTAAAGTTCTCATACTTTGTAGTTCGTAGTCCGTGGGCAATTTATGAATATTCAATATGTCCTTTCGTGCACTTCGATAGATTAATAAATCATAAAACATGTCCATAGCTTTCCAAGAAGACATGTACGAGCTTGCAGCTTTCTTTATTCTGCTCGAGGTGAAGGTTTTACAACTTTTGGTTCTATTTTGGTGTTACAAGAGTGTAGCAATTGGAAACATTTCATCATAGTCTGTGTGAGCATAACTGAGCCAGAATATTCACGGATGTTGAGATCAAGCTCATCAAACTCATGCAACTTTCAGCCTTGCAGGGAATTCTTCAAAAAAACATCAGCAAAATTGTTAAGAGTATCGACACTAATCTGCAAATAAGAATACCATTGAAGCAGTTGAGAAGATAAATGGGGAATTCCTGTCCCAGGATTATCCAAATGTTCAAAAATCTGCGAATGACAAGGGCACCCTTAAATCCGTCGAAGCTGTTTTGTGAATATCTACGGCATGCCGACGTTTATAGAGAGTAGAACAATCCAGCTGATTTTTCACTTTGGCATTGGGTCTACAATTACAAAAACATGAATGAGCTCTACAAATTAGTTGAAAGCTTCTAGAGCTCCTTCGAATGATTTATGAAAACTTGACAGTGCACGGGATCTGACGAAGGGGCTGACAAAAGAAAGGGCGATTTTGGTAGTATTTTGAAGTGCTAAAACGGATATAACCAAAAAGTCCCCAAAAAATAACGTTTATGTCAACGTTGGAAGTGCTAGGAAGAGTTCCTTAGAGCTTTCACCCATTTAAGAGAAAGCCTTATTTTCATATAATTTTGCAAAATTTACCTGATTTTGAATTTGAAAGCAACCAAGCTTCCAAAAAGCAGACAATTACAGGATTTTAGGGGATTGATCCTTTTGTTGAGGTCGTAAAATTGCAATTAGCTCAATACATAGTCTAATCCAAGTTTATCAATGGTTTTTGTATACGGCAACATGTTTGGAAGATTTGTGGAAGAGATAAAATAAGCTCAAGCGAAAATGTCCACCTAGGAACTGTCATCACATTAGTTGCCCTTCTGCCATCTTTTTGTGGCCAATGTTCTTGAAACTAAATATATTTTAATTTTTTATGCTTTCCCGTGCTAAGTAGATTCAAAAGTTGATGGGACTAATATTATAGCGACATTCCAGGACCCCAGAACTGGGGATTGCTATTCAAACCTTGGACTATGTGTCATAACGGAAAAATGCAATCTCCGATAGATATACCACCTGAACGACTTCTCTTCGATCCTAATCTGAAGCCTATACACATTGATAGAATAAACGTAAGTGTTGCTGCTTTTCTATTTTAGCAATTACGGAAGAAATGCAGATTATGAATAAGCTGAAACTGAGGCCAAATTATGAAGAAGTAATGAGACACAGTATAGGGCAATTTGTCTCGCGTATATGACCAAATTCTCACGCAAAAGTTTCTTTGTTTGGTAATTTATATCTAACAGACTTCAATAGGTTCACCGTAAAAATCATTGATAATTACCTACTAATACCAGCTAATACCAGCCTTGCAGTATAACACAAAAAACCTAGAAAATCGTAAATATGACATGGTTTTCACAATCAGAATACATATCATTAAGGTCATAATCTGCCACATAGCTCTTTTTCTTATTTTGACCATTATAGTCTCTTCCTAAAGAGTTTTGCGTGATCAGCACATATTGTATGTATTTCCTTCAACTTCGAAATGATCCGATTTTTCGAATGCATGACAGAGAAAATTTTCAAAATGATTCTAATCTCCACGTGAAAACCTGGCAGATTGCAGGTGATGTCTGAAATGCTGAACACTGGGCAGATGCCTCGCATCCGTATCGGGAACTCTGCGCGAAGACCTAGTGCAAATTTGACTGGAGGTCCATTGCATGGCTACAAGTATCGGTAAGTACGAACTCAAGTCCTCCAATCTGCTGGTACTGGCTAAAACGATTTCAGAATTCAACGAATCGACATTCATGTGGGAAGAGGCGATTTGAACGGCAGTGAGCATACCATAGACGGTCGAAGGTTCCCAATGGAGGTATGTCTCCACGAGCAGTGGCTGTGAATTCTGCCAAAGTAAATCATTTAGCTGCAAATGCTGGCCTACAACACGGACCTCTACCGTAACTTTTCGGCAGCTTCACGCTCGCCACATGGTATCGCCGGTGTGTCGGTATTGGTCGATGTGAGTTGCTTACAAGGGAATGGTCAGAAGTCGAAGTGGCCAAACCAAACAAGCTGTATACCATTCGATGCAGTATAAAACGCTGACTTCGAATCTGCCTTTCTTATCTGCTTCCCGCTTCTGTGGACGAAGCTACAAGCGGTTTTATTGTGAAAAAATCACACATAAAAACAGCGAAATTGAGCACACTGTTGCATTTTTAGCTCAGCTTCTTTCTTTAAAGATTTGAAGCAGGCTAGCTCCATGTTTTGGCCAAGCGGTGATGCGAACGTGGCTCTGCACGGCTAAATTTTCAATTTCACGCGTAATTTCTTAGCAAAATAATGGTCTTTAATGGCTTGTAGCTTCGTCCACAGAAGCGGGAAGCAGTTAAGAAAGACAGATTCGAAGTCAACGTTTTATACTGCATCGAATGGTATACAGCTTGTTTGGTTTGGCCACTTCGACTTCTGACCATTCCCTTGTTAGGAATGATCTGAATTTCCCCAAATTATTTGATTCCTTTTTCAGTTTGGAAAGGAGACGAATGCCGAGTTACTCAAGCTGACTATTGCTACCGCCAGCATCCTTTACAAAGGTGAAATTATGATCCGTCCTATGGTCTTATCACAAACCGATGAAAGCTAATAGAAGAGGATTCCAATGGGTAAAGTTGAAGGGGTTAAATGGCAATATTTTCATCACTAAAGAATACTAGCGAATGAAAGAACATAACAAGAAAGATATAAATTATGTTGTCTCAAAAATTCTGATTATCAGAAGAACGGTAAATGAGAAGAGGGAATCAAATAAAACTTTGTGCCTAAGGAACTTGAATTCCTATTCTATTCATTCAAGATCTAGTTTACCTGTGTCAGAATCAAAACCCATGACGGTAATAGAAGAAATATAAGCCAAAAAGTATCTTCTCCTTTAGAATGTTTTTTACAAATATCTTCGGACAGAATTCAAGCAATCTATAAACATACACTATTTAGTTTCCTAGAATTCAGCAGCGACTTGGAGGCTTGACTCGTTTTTTGCATTCAGGGTTCAGAATTTGTGCAAATTTTACTAGATATTAAACCTACTTCAATGCTTCTCTAGGAGAAGTTTGAGCGTTATATGACTTCATGATAACCAACTTCACCTCCATGATATATGCACTAATAACGGAGTAGTGGGGTTTTTATATTTGCAACTCCCTTTACATTTGCAACTCCCTATCTTCCAAACACTCCCCTCAATTTTCATAAGTCTAATAATTTTTACTCCGATAACATTTTCCATGGGTAAATTGCTTCCGTTTTGATAAGGTACAAGAATAACAATGAGATTTTAGCTCAACGCGTGGAGCTGGCCGATCTGGAACCGTGGCAGTTGCTGCCGCACACCCGAGACATCGTCACCTACGAGGGATCAATGACATCGCCTGGATGTCAGGAGACGGTCACATGGATTCTTGTCAACCAACCGATCCATATCGCTCGAGACGATGTCAGCAATGTCACTTTGCTTGATTTTTGGAATAGAACTTGCTTTTAGTATGCTGAATGGGGCAAAATGCTGCAGACAGCGCAGAAGACAGAAGAACCGCAGTTTTTAGCGCCGAATCGAAGAGCCGTGCAGGAGTTTAGCTCACGGCTGATACGAACGAATATTCGACATTTAATGAAGGTATCGAGTTTTGACCTAGTTGTGAACTACTTATCCCAGTAAATGAAGTTTTTTGCAGGATAAGAAAGAGTGCAAAGTGCCGAAGATGTCCTATCGAAGCAGTAGCGGATCTCCACCACCTTCTGACCCGAAGCATCGATTAAGACACATTCATCCGAAAGAAACACACGAAAGTGATTTTTTGTAGAGCTAGAGGCACTTACTACCCATAAGCTGCATCTAGGGTTGCCAAAGCCGAGCTGGCGCCGTGCCAGGGACGTCAATCCATCTAGGGGCCCATGCACGTGGGTGAGCTGGCACGGCGTTAGCACGACGCTAGCACACAACCTTGGACGCTGGCTTCACTGAAAGTGATCTCCGAGGTGTAAACAAACGTAGATCAAAATCAGACAATAGGCATATTGATTACGAAACCCCAATTCATTTGCATGCAAAAGAGTCCAAATGTATGATCCGATCGTAAGACTTCGAATACTGACGCTTTCTTCATCAAGCACTCGTTTTCATTTGCTTGGAACTTTTTCGACGATTAGAATGGCGCGAAAGTTCTGTCGTTCCTTTTTTGCCAAGACCCACAAAGGTCCTTTTTTTCTATTTTGTAGTGATAACTTATACCCGACCGCAAACTCGAGTCTGGTCTCGGGCATACTTCGCGATTTCAGTCGCGACGCGATTTGGCAATATTCCAAATGTTTATAACTCATCGTGAACGCATTCTAAATGTAAGAAAGTAGGGCATTATATCAGTTTACGAGAGTTATATTGGCTATGCATTTGTAATTTGCCAGTGTGATAATCGAAGGAATCTGGCAAATTGCCAGACCGCGTCGCGACTGAAATTGCGTGAAGTATGCCCGAGGCCTCTCTCGGGGGTGTATGCCATAAAACTTACACCTGAAAACAGGAATCTACAGTGAACATTTTGGATTTTGCGATTAAGTTCAAAAATCGTAATCCAAGTAATTTCCTGTCGGTTTCAAGGCCAGATGCCGAAGTCTATACACCCTTAAAAATTTGCCGATAGAACTTTCGTGCTAACCCATTGATAAGCAATCTTTACCTTTTCACTTATATTAATATATCATTACCCTATGTTACCTTAATACTTATGGAACTTCTTCAATTGTAAGAAGTCTGGAAATGGGTCTAAACTATTCATATTGTGATCTCGACCGGTTTATAGTGTATGAACTGCATTTTCACAGATAAAGCATAATTTATTGATTTTGTGTGACATGTGAGAACGTTTAACATTTTTATATGATTTTAACGAAAAAAGCAGAAATAGTGAAGATCGCGACTATCCGCTAAACAAAGGACATGATCTACAGTATCCATATCTACAGTATCCACTGACTATGTACAAGCAAAAGTATCAACAACTCAAAATCGTTTATTTACTTCTTTGTTGCTGCTGCTGCTTGACGCTCCTTCTCGTAACCAACGCCGGGAACATATTGCTCACTGGGATTGTGAAAGAGTGAATGATTACCGTCGCCCCAAGGAAAGGGCTAAAATCAAGAATTTTTCAAATAAACCCCAAATTTCTTTAGCAGAGTGTTGTCACCTTGTTTCGAACATTCATGTATGGATATTCGACGTGTTCTGGTCTTTCATGTGACATGTGGTGGGAGTGGTCCTTATAAGCTGCATACATGGTCAAGGCTAGGCACGGAAGCGAGGCATAGAAAAATATTCTTTTCCATGTTAACTTCGCATCTATAAATATCAGAATAGATATAGCTTAGTATGATGATCGATATTATGTTTAATGTCTAGCTGACCACATTTGCGTCTGAATAATGGTTATAAGACGCCAAACTCAAAAATGAGCTCCGTGGCTGGATTTTTTACGCGCAAATGTTGTCCCAAAAGATCGTTAACACTGTTTAATCGTAAATGACTCTCTTGTCATGAAGTCTTTCGAGAAGCTTCATTCACCATTTTGTAGAGCGAGGTTTAACTTAGACCTATAGTATGGAGCGAATCATCAATCGCTCTTCAATACTGTAGGATTCGGTAGAAACTTTGCGAAAGATTTTTGGAAGTTAAAAGCTTTTTTGACTCAGGAGGAAAACCAAACAAATCAAAAACTCTTGTACTGGGCTAGTCGAAGTGGCTGATACTAAATATAACGTTTGTAATCCACTGTAATGCTTTTTTATGAATTATTTCAGGTTTAGGCTAAAATGTTAATCAGAATTGCGATCACAACATTAAAAAAACTCAAAAAACTGGAAGAAAGTTGTGCAGTGAAATCGGCACGCCCAAAATATCGCTACATGAAATTCCATTTTTGTAGTTATTATATTTCTCTGTTAAAAGCCTATTTCCATTGGCGCTGAATGCTGAAATTTCCTACCGTAATCCTACAGTGATAAAGAACGATTGATGTTTGCTCCATACTGTAGGTCTAAGTTTAACCTCGCTCTACAAAATAGTGCCTCAAGCTTCTCGAAAGACTTCATGACAAGAGAGTTAATAACGATCAAACAGTGTTGACTGGGACACCCTGTATTTACCATCACCTAATAGACTACAAATGGATTCTCTATGACAGCAAATTTGAGTGGACAATTCTTGACTCACCGTTACTTTCTTTCAACATCTTTGTGTAATTTTGCTTGTAGTTTTCGAAATTTTTGCCAGAATAGAACCCTCCACTACCATGCCTGCGGAGCTCTGTTGTGGCTGCACGTGGAGCAAGTCGTAACATAGTAACCTGGAACCAGAACTTGCATTGGTAGAAAAAAAAGTCTGAGCACGATTGGTGGACGAATAGACTCTTAAGACACGAATGTCGCCAATTAGTTATGCCTGCAGCTGTGCTTGCTTCTCCCACCGTCTCTTCCCTTTTAAGCCCTGATCCACTCCTGCATAACGCTGATGTGCTTCAAAAATACAGGAATATAAATGAAAAAGATTTTGTCTACGTTAATTCTCACGTGTAAACCTGCCTTTCGAAAGTCTGCAGATCTACTACACTGAGTAGTGGCAAAGTTTTGTCCATTTTTTCGAACGAATACAATACCTCGTACAATGAAACCCAAATGCTTCAAAATGCAGCTTTTAATTCTATTCCTGATAATTATAAACTTTTTTATAATTGCTAAAATCACCCTTATGTGCTCAATGTCCGGTTGATTTCCTAGAATTTTAATCTGTTTCAAAAGTGGATATATTGCGAACAGAGCAGATCTCGAATTAAGCGGCAACGCTGTTAGATTCTTCTGATCTTCCGTTTGAAGCTTGGAAACTTACTTCGGAAATTCCGATTATTGGTAAAGTCCTAGTAGACATTCGCAACAAAAACATGACCTTTGAAGCTTCTGTGAGTTGAATTATTGTTATTGACCATCAGTTGTGCGAACTGAGCAAATTTGATTTGCAAAGAATCGGCTTTTTGGAGTTTTCTGTAATGCTATGCATTACAGGCGCTTAAAAAGCAGAGGTATTTCTCAGAAAAATAATTGTTATACGCTTCCGAAACGTGATCTGGATAATCAAAAACGAATATGTAGTAGCCATGAATTTACTCTACATTATCTGCCAGCGCTTGTTTGAAATATTAAAACAAAAATTGGTACTTTTCCGTTATCCGGACCCATTTCTTCTAAGGGCTCTCATAACATACGTTCGTCTACAAAGACTGCCTCCCGCCACGTGTAAGGAAAAATTTGACACGTTTCAGCCCATTTTGAGTTGTTTTTTCCAATTCATTCCCAATGTGGTAAAAAACAATTCTGAGCACCTAAAAGCGTTTCAGCTGTTTTCTATAAAAGCAAAACTGTATAGAACCTTATCGCAGAACATCCTGATTGCTTTCAGCAAGAAATCAAATTTGTCTTTCTCTTCAAACTTCTGACCATGGGAATTTAGGGAGAGACTATAAATGGTGGCTTGCAGTATCGCGCTGCTGCTTGTTACGCCGCTTGGATGATGGAATCGTAGAGCACTTCTCCATCCTGGGCAGGTCTAATCTGTTCAGTGATAACAGGAAGACGTTATTATTATAACAATGTTAATTCAGAAATTGTTTGATTAAAAATGGGGTCATTGTTGACTAGAATCCAGAATGAGCTTTTGTCACTAGTAGTGCAACACAAGCCCTTGGTGAAACCTGTTAAACATGTAGATGACATGTCAAATTTTTTTGACACGTGGCAGAAGGTTGACGTTTTTTCCTATGAAATCGGGACCAAATATGGTGCAAGGTCAGAAGAAATATCCTTCCTTGAAAAAATGGGTCCGGATAACGGAAAAGTACCCAAAAATTTTCCGAGGTTAGGGAAAATCTGGCGTCACTGTTGAATGCTAAAGAGCATGGCAGGATAAAAAACTGAATCGGACGGACGATACCTAAGTCGATCAGTGTTCCGTGAGTCTCGGTACAGATCCAAAAAAACGCACAGAACTTTCGGGGCAACTTGGTAAGATAATGTGCCGAATGTGAAATATAATTATAAGTCATCATCTTGAGTTGTCCCAAGAGTTTCGTCCGTTGTTTTTATCGCTCACTAAAATCACAGAACAGAATCCATGGACGACTTAGGTACCGTTTGATTCAAATTCTTATCCTATTCAAAAGCTTTTCTGCATTTGCTGCAGTTGCGTGTTTCATGACTTAGCCAAAAATCGAGACCTCCGAAGAAAGCTTTTGAAGCTAAAAACAGCAGATTAAAATCCTACTATCTAAATACATTCCTTTGAACTGCTCTATTTGATCCATATAATCCTTTCCGAAACATTGGGATGAAATTTTTAAAATTAGCCTAGCTTTGAACAGATAAAATTGACGGGTGGAGAATTTCAATTATCAAAAAAAAGCATATAGGATTGTAGTTCGAAAAATCCATAAGAAAGAGAAGGAAAAGCTGCATCAATACATGTTGAAAGATGTACAGATCTTTATTGTGCGTGGTTTTATAGTGATTTGAAAAAAAAGGACAAAACTTTCGGAACAATCTAATATTTCTATAAGAAAAGATCCATGAATAACAAAGATCAGAACAGATCACAGTCCAAACTTTATGTTGTTGAACATCGTGCTTTCAACACATTTGTGAAAAACAGCTGCGCATAACTGAGAAAACTGCCTATCGATCCACTAAAATAGCAACATTCAGCATTCAGCATAATAATTTTCAAATTCAAAGGTGCTGAGTGAATGAGGAGGGTCTAAGAAATTACAAGGTCTTTTCAAAATTGGAATTATTGCACATGCCTGACATGTATCACCTATAAAATTCATCTTTTTCAGACAAATTGAATTTTCAGGTTGCCGCTACAAGCTACACCAACATTTGTTTTGTAACTGAAAGTGCTTGCAGATCATTACTTCCACTGTTTTTTTTCCACTTCCAATTATTACTTTCACTGCACTTCTTGTGCTGAAAAAGAAGTCAGAAAGTTCACAGATACGACCATGCATTCAGAATCAACTACAAAGCCTCGAACATTGGGCAAACAAAAAATTTTTGGGTACTTTTCCGTTATCCGCACCATTTAAAAAAAGGATATTGCTTTTTCCTTCGTACCATAGTTGGTCCCAATTTCACAGGAAGGAGTTCCAGCTTCCCGTCACGTGTCAAAAAAATTTGACATGCCATTTGAATGTTTGACAGTTTAACCAAGAGTTTAAGTTGCCCTACCTAGCGACAAAAATTTAATCTGTTTTTTAATGCATGGCCCCATTTTAGATTGAACCGTAAAAATGGACATTGTTAATATAATAATGCCATTTTGTTATTAATAACCGGATTAGACTTGCCCAGAATAGAGAAGTGAGCTCCCATCATCTAAATGACAAGAACAAGCAGTAGCGAAGAACTTCAAGCCATCATTTATGATCTCGTCTAGCTAAATTCGGAAGGCAGGTTTAAACCGAAAGACAGTACTACATTGCTGAAAACGATCCAGATGTTGTAATATATTAGGTTGATGCAAAAGTTCTTTCGCACTTCAAAAATTCGTAACTTGCTCAATTCTCAACGAATCTGCAAGACCTAAATTTTGTATAAGAGAGAAGCTCATGCTCTTTGCATCTGTACCTGCACTGTTCGTTAAAGTGTACAAATGAAGGAGATAGAAGCTGAAAACCAAAATAACTCAAAATCTGAATTTTTCGCGTAGGGTCATAAAAAATCGGAAACTTGCAACAAAAACCGAAGCAGTCGATATTGTAGGTTCTTTTACCAGCAATGCAAAGTTGCGCCGATTGAGCGTCTCTATGAAAAGTTATGATTTTCGAGCAAGCAATACAAAAGAGCGAATTTGTTTTATTTTGGCATTTTTCAGGGAATTCAGAACTTTTCACAGAGACGCTCAAACGGCGCAAACTTTGCACTTGGAAAGAGCTTGTGAAAAAGCCTACAATACTGACCGCTCCGATTTTTGTTGCAAGTTTCCGATTTTTTATGATCCTACACGAAAAATTCAAATTTTGAGTGATTTTGGTTTTGAGCTTCTATCTCCTTCATTTGTATACACTAACGAAGAGTTCAAGAGTAGTTGCAACGTGCATGAGTTCCTCTCTTATATACAATTTAGATCTTGCAGATTCGTTGAGATTTGAGCAAGTTATGAATTTTTGAATATGGTGCGAAAGAACTTCTGCATCAACCTGATAATAATTTCAAGATTGTTTTGTTCTTATAGGGAAAATTAACAGCTTTTAGGTGATCAAGGCTCTTTTAAGGGCCTTGATCACCTAAAAGGTCATACCGGTCAGCGATCCATCGCCGCGATGGATGATCGTCGCGACTGGCTGGAAACTAGCGACGAAAACGCGCGACTCGCTGATCGCTCGAATAAGGGGGCATACCACCGCGGCGATGTGTGCATTCTCACACTACGTCACATAAATCACTTTCGCACAAGCAAATCTGAGAAACAAATTTTGTACCAGCATAAACTTCTCATATAAAAGTCATGACTGACAATCACTGATTCCAGTGCAGATTAGCCGCGGAATATGTACAAATAGCTCCTGAGAGTTCACAAACAAAAGTCATGCCTGTGATGAGGATACTGAGGTAATAAAGAACACAAAGAAACGTTATAATGGTTAATAGTAGAGCCGTACCCACGAAACACACATCAGTTGAAAACCAGATAGCTGGCAAATTTGGGAAGTGTGCAAGGCATTTAGCGCGAGTGACAATTGCTGATAAATCAAAGGCTTGCATTTCACGGAAAACCAATGCACTTTGACAAAACTAAAATGGTTTCCAATTCCCACACACGAGACCAGCTTAAGAAAGTAAAGAACAACCATAAAACTTTCCTGGAAAGAGATCCCAATCCTAGCGATCCATCGCGTCGCGCATTTGAAATGAGCGACGCGAATTCGCTAGGATGAGCGACGATCGCGGCGATTTCGCTCAAATCGGTATGGCCGGGTAGAAAACGGCCCGCGATGCATCGCGCCGGACAGCCAGCACAGATACGCAGTTATCCCCGGCCTTGTAACACTTGTCCTTTGAGAAAGTCAGCGACGCGATGGATCGCTGACCGGTATGATCGGCCCTTTACCTCACCGAAAATGATTTTGAGAAAACATGTCAAAATGGAGCAAAACGTGTCATATATTCCTGACACGCCGAAGGGAGGCAGTCTTCATAGAATCTATAGAATCCTTTTGAAAAAATGGGTCCGGACAAAAAAGATACCCTTTTTTGTTTACTCTTCGAAATAATTTCGCTTTTACTGCTGCAGGCCGCCATATAAATTTCAAAACAATACAACGCTGTGGCTCAATATAATAATTTGAACATTGAAAGAACTAGCGACAAAATTTGTACATTAACCAAGCACGCTTAGTAATTAAGAAATTTCCATAGTTGACTAGTCTTTCAACGGTTCTGCTTAACAAAACAGTCAACGCTCACAAGATTTTTATTGCTCGATTTTCTCAGCTACCGTCACATTGTGAGTCAAATTGCACATTTTACCTCAAAACTTGGATATTTTAATGTGTCTTGTTTGTTACCTACGCTTCAGAAGATAGACTCTTTTTTTCCAAAGTTTACAAGAATTGACTTTGCATGAGCAAAGTCAATTCAACGAACTTATTCTTCAAGCTTTAGAAGGTGAAAGAAATTGACACAAGTCAAGCCGAAAAACGCCAACAATGAAGAATGACTAGGTTGTGTTGTAAATAACTTTTCCAAAATCTTGTTTTTACGAAAGCGCTATAATAGTGGCTTATCCGAACACATATAACAGAAATGCGAGACAAAAATAGAAAACGAAAAAGATGAAAATTAATTTTGATTTGCCCTGCTGCAAACGCGATACTGATTTACTGACACCAACACTTACCGAATATCGCAGACCGTATGATAATTCAAAATCAAGGCCCTCTACAAGAGCCTAGCCATCATCTTTGGCACTTTTAAAGGAATTAGCTAGGGAATATCGCGAGCAATTTGGGCAATTTCCAAACTACATGGCTTTCTGGACCAGCTGAGCAGGTACTGTGCTTTAAAAGTCAAGAAATGCCTTTTTGGCGTTTCCCGACCTTGGATATTGCTTGAGAGGCGGGGCGAGGGATTCTTAAATTCGTACTGATTGCCTGGGCTGACCAGCCAATTGCCGCCAAAATATTTGAAGTTACATTATCCTGCGGTCACTTGCCGGTAATGGCGGGAATCCCTCGCCCCGCCTCTCCAGCGATTTACAACACCAGCAAACTCCAAAAAAACACTTTTTTGATATTTCAAGCAATATCTGACTTAGCTGGTCCAGAAGGCCATGTACTTGTAAGAAGCCCCGAGCCACTGCCTTTAAGGCGTCAATTATTCCTTCATCAAAACAGAAATTACAGTAGTCTACAAAATTGTCATTGCTCAGCATTTCCGGCGACAAAAAATGCTAACTCAAAAAATTATCTTCAATTTTGAAAATCTGTATCTTGAGGCTATATTTGAAATAGTTTGCGCGCAAGAAGCGTCTATCCTCCCAAAAGGCATGCACTTTTATTTTAATTCGTAGTCTTATCCAAAGAGATAGATAAATGTAAGATGAAAAACCTTGCAATGATTTCCGAAAAATTCTCGCTGATGATTTGGATGCATTTCGAAAGCAAACTTCACTTTGCTTGTCTTGCTCAGAGTTCAGTGTTAAAAGGAATCAGTAACAGTGGACTGGACTTAAGGGTGATAATTTTGTCGAGGGCGTAGTGTCACGAGAATAGCATTCATTTGGCTGCCTCAAACATGTCAAAGATGAAAGCGCATGATTCATTTTTACGCCACTGATTTCAAAACGAAAATACGTACATTATGTGAATAGGTCGATATTTCGACAGAATACACTCATAGTATGACGAGCGGACAAGAAAGCGAATAAGCGCGAAAGCTCAACTGGAAAATCTATCCATCAAACGAGCTAATCTGGATCATTTCACATTCATACATACGGATACTGTGATAATGAAAGTTGTAAGCGAATTCTTAACAAAAAGCTGAGAAAAAGCGGCAGTGGGCAGCTGGCCAGAGTCCGCCCACATGCGTGTTTACCATGTGATGTGTTTACCAGTAATGCGATGGCGAAAACATCGTCTGCATAAGCCCCTGCACGTCCTACCCGATCCATAGTCTACTCCAGTCCACATGTCGCAATGATTCTCACAATCGAACCATGCACAGCTCCCTGCTTATCGACCACATTAAAGGCGGTGCTCAGGCAAATTTGGATACCTGACTTCTTGTGCCGATTGAAGTCTAAGCCATTAGACAGCTCTTATGTTTCATTCGTAGCTACGAAATGCAACTACAGAATTCTGCCCTGACCGTATTACCTATCTACCGTATTAAGAATGCATTGATTTCCGTGAAAACCATCGGCATTGGACGAATCTATGCTGGTATTCTCGGCTTAACAAATCATATGAGCGTGTCTTTGATGTTAGCCGAAACCTTCCAATCACTATTCACATAAGCAGGCTCACAACACCACCACTCATTCTAAAAATTCAACAAACCAAATGGCTTCCCCTCCTACGTTATCCTAGGTAGAACTGTCCTGCTATACTCTTTATGAATGTCCAGAAATGGTAAAATGAAATTGTCACATTCAGGTAGCATACAACAAATAAGGAGGTTAGCCACCACAAAATTTTCCTAAATTAGTCCTCAACGCAATTTCCATAAATAAATTGTGACACTGCAAAAAAATGTGAATTTATTCTGAGTCTATCGCGGTTTTGAATTTGTGAAGGCTTGTTATGGATATCCCTTGCCATGTTGCATACTTACCAAAATACTGCTTTATCTCAGACCTTATGCACCTATAACTATAAACACTCCTCATTCTCAGTTTCTTGTTACGTTTCTTTTTTCTAATTTCCGAATGTGATGTTACAATAATCAAGCTAAATTTTGCATAGATTATTCATCGTAAAAGCCACTTTCTTTTGTTTCTGTTCCGCTTTGAGTGAACCATCAATACTGGTCTCAATGTCACCTATGATGTCTCTATAAGCTGATCTAATGTAATGCAAACAGATTGTATTTATTCTCCGAACGGTCGCGTTAAGAAGTTAGAAGGTACAAAAATTAGCAGTGAGCCTAACCTTTTGTCTTCATCATCATCTAGAGCTAGGTAAAAGTTCAATCTATCACAAGTCCCTCATAGTAGTAAGATTAGCAGAAAGAATCCTCTTCAAATATTACTATACAGTTGGTGGAACCAGTTAGTGGTTCTTTCGCTCTTCTTCGAATCCAACGCCCGGAACATACTGTTCTGCTTTGTTGTGGAATAGTGAGTGGTTTCCGTCTCCCCATGGAAAAGGCTAAAATTATCGTCGTCGGGTATGCTAGGTTTGAATCAAACTTCAAATCACCAACCTTGTTCCTGACGTTGAGAAATTCATAGGGAACATATTCTGGTCGCTCATGTGACATGTGGTGGGAGTGGTCCTTGTAGGCAGCATACATGGTCATGGCTAGGCATGGAATCGATGCCCAGTAGAAGATTTTCTTCCAAGTTTGCTTAGCACCTGAATAATTGTCGTTGAATTTGCTCACTAATCGCTGAAAATGGTCCTTGCAAGTGGAAAATCATGGCAAAGTATAAATATTATACTATCATCATATTATACTATAGCCGTCTAGATTCAGATAGAGATAAGTTCAAAAGTCAATTTCGAAAATTCTTATCAGAATACTAGATCCGTGATTAAGCGGTGGTTTTGGTCACGATATTAGTTGCTTTCTAATTATGTATCGTTTGTACTTCAAAAATCAGCATTTCTCGAGAATTAGGGCACCTAGAAAGGGTACAAAAATGATTATCTCATTTCTTTGAGTAAAAGCTATGTGATCGCGTTTATGGAAAGAACTCAGAACACTTAGGGGTGGGGTTGCCAGTTCAGCCCAACAATTTCTCTATATTTCTAGACATGGAAAATTGAGAAAGTGTGCAATTAAATGCCCGATGTGTCAATCATATGCTGGGGTAAAGAGGAGATTTTTTAGACTTTTGAGACGAAGATAGGATTTTTTACGGTTGAGCTCGTTCTAACTACTATGTTTCAGCTTTAAACTTCACGTGGAATACGACTTGGGCAGACTCTTGATAGCCATCTTGTAGAGCTTGTTTTACCCTGTCAAATCATTACTCAAACAGCATCAGTTGGAGAAAAGATATAAAAAGACGACGGTTGTAGTAGAAATGGTAAAAAAAATTATGAGACACCCAAATATAGAAATTGTTTCAACACTATGGCTAATTGACTATGGCCACTTGTGCTCGGCTGACAAAAGTACAGAACTTTTGAAATTCGTCAGTAGCTGATGCAAAGACACGTTCAAAGCAAGAACATAAATGAAATTGATTCAATTCTTTATAAGAAGGGTAAAGTCACGTCTACTCTACGATACAAAAACTATCTACAAAACATAAGAAGTTTTGTCTATTCTTAAACCGTTCCGACTAGAATTTGAGGAAGACCAATCGATCAAAAAAAACCATTAAAAACTCTTCTTATATCCAGTGAATTATGCGCAAAAGACCATTGATAAAATTCGCCAATTCCTTTACTTCGGCCGAAATCTGGGTACATTTATGAAGTAAAGCAGTTTAGTTACTGTAGTAATAATCCTGTTTTGAGAAGTCTTAATTTTTTTTTGACTTTGCGCAATATCTGAGCGCTTACGAACAGCACCCAATCCATATTAGAAGATTGGACTGATGTTGTAAAAACTGAGGATAGCATGGTATTCCTATTAGGTTATCACATACGACTTTCTTCTATTATACAGACTAAGCGACAAGGACTATGCGCTTTTTTTTGAGAATGCTGATGTGCGAATTCGACGTTCACTAGCAATACAGTTTCGAACAAAAGCTATTTTTGATGTTTCTGCCGCAACTGCACAGGAGCTATAGTGACGACTGAATACAATATCTTGTCAAGTGATGGCACAAATTTCATTTTGTTAGATGTCATTTTCGTGATACGATAAATCTCAGATAAAATAAAATGATCAATTTGTTGAACTCACAACTTCAACAGTAAAGCAAAAAAAAGGAGCAAAACGACTGATTAAAAAGGGGATGATATCTCACCGTCGGATTCTTTTAGTGATCCAATCATGTTTCTCTTAAAATTATCAAAGTTATGCGATCCGTAAAAGCTTCCGGAAGAATTTCTCTGGATCGTTCGCTGGACGCTGGCTCGCGACGTTAGAATGGCACGACTTAGAGCAGACATGTTAGTATCTAGCCTGCAAAATAGCAATATGAGACTAGTAAAACTAGCCCAAGTTAGTTCATCTGAGCACATTTCGGTTTTGAGAAGAAAAAAAAAAGGGCGCGATGATTTGGATAATGTGGAGAAGAGGAACATGAGTCAGAACATGACAGCGCAGAAAAAGTGGAATGAATGAGTGTGATTTGGGAGCAATATGAGGGAAGACAGCAGGTCACGTGACCTCAGCTGGAGTACTCAGGCCATCGATCGAGCAGATGACCGCGCGAAGTGCATTGCTCGTAGTACTGCACCTTGCGTACTATTAACCAATAGACTTGAAGTGTAACGAAAATCACAAAAAATGTCAAATATGAAACGCTTGGAAAAAGCCGATCAATTGATATGAACGTAATACGTTTTTTACGAGACTAATTCTGCAGCTACGACTAACTTGGGCGGCTTGATGATCTGCGCGGGACCAGCCGATAAAGCTGTTTGTGCTCTTCATGACATTTGTTGAAGTTCAACACGATGTGCTTACACGTAAAAAGATGAAGATCCATACTTTCCGAATGGAAGAAGTCCTAAAGAGCCCAAATGTCGAAGGGTTTTATTGCATTCGGGGTCTCTGATAATCTTTGCGTTGTGTTTGACGCAACTATTTTCTGAAAATTTGTACTTATTGAGAAACCATTGGACCCATTCAGAGGATCTTTGCTTGCTTTCCTGTGTTTATAGATTTTGGAGTACTTCCCGGTTATAGAATTCCAAGCCCCAAAGGACAAGTGAAAGATGCCATGCTCAAGGGAAAATGTTTTAAGAAAGAGACACTAGTGTCCTCAGAACTATTTTCAAGTAAAATGTCCTAGTGGCTAAGGGTGTAGTGGGCTAACATACGCACGCTTTCCCTCCCACCTAGAAAGTTGGCTTACTTTTCGAACAGTGATGGTTTCTTTGGCTAATCTACAAACGACAACACTTTTCACATAGCGACGTATTGTTTTTGACAAATTGTATAGAGTAAACCAAGAACAAAGATCATCAGTCACTTAGCTTTCTTCGTCAGCGGTGAAAAACGGAATATCAGAAGGCTGACATGCTTGAGCACGCTGATAAGAGCTCAGGTGGCTTTCTTTTTTGATCCTCTATTTCCATGTAGCAAAGATTACATGAAATCTCCCAAGGCTTTGTATGGTTTTGTAATATGGGTGCTCAGTGTTAGTAACTAATGTCTGGCCATCTTTATTCGAGCATTACTATGTCAAAATAGAAAACCTCTTGGTGATAATTCATGATATGTTTCGGATTTTCGCTTCTCCTTCGCTTGCTTTTCCATATATAGTAGTGATATCTTGATAGTCAGAAGTTCGCACAATCTATCAACGTTGAAGTGTAAAGAAATGTTGATTCTGAAGAAGGTTAAGAATTTAATCGAAATGCAAATTGGACAGCAACCTCGTAAGAGGAGACTGTCCCCCTCCCCCCCCCCCCCCCGAAAAGTGATCGTGTGAATCGCATTTTTTTGGAATGGACGGGTGACTTATGCTTTTTTGTAAATAACGTAAAGTAACCATTAATGTGGATCTCTGTACCTTTGATTACCTCAAAAATCACTTTTCGAGGTATTGGTGCAGTTCGCCAATTTGAAGGGCGTGGCTGATCCACGCTAATTTGATCGCAAAAGTTACTAGCCCTTATCCCGAAAGATGTTAGGCCGCTTTTCTTACCAAGTTGCTTTTTGTAAACTAGTGAACCAGCAATGTAAAGGTGCTATTTGGAGGAGCGCTCTCACGACCGCCACGCGGGTCCCCGCTATTTGCAGATTTTTGAATTGACTTAACAATTCTTCATATATAAGAGATCCTTTGTTTTGATTTTACGGCTGTATAATGTGATGTGTGCAATCGCACAGACTTGTTTGAATGTATGTAAATTAGTCAGATTGCGGACTGCAAGATCCTTTTTCTGTGTGTTTGTTACATAATAGCTCTAGTTGTAAACATACAGTACCAACACTGCCGCCGTGAAATCCTGCGATATAAACGCATTGTCGCGCCGAAAATGTCGCATTGCGATAGCTCGCTTGAACCTCAACCAATTAAACTCTAGCTTAGGTATTCGAAACCAGCGCCTTCTGGACAATCTAAGAGTGTTTTCAAAAGTTCCAAAATTTCCTTCACAAAGATCTTTTTTTATGACCATCGGTGGTATAAGCGCATTGCCGCGTTGGTATCGCCGCGCACCCATAACTTTCTTCAACCCAAACATATGAAATTCTAGTTTGAATATTTGGAACCAGCATCTCCTAAACTGCCTAAAAATGTTTTCGAAAATTCCAGAATCTTGCTTACAAGTTTTTGGCTCCATGCCAGCGGCGATCTATACTCAATGTCGCGCTCGAAGTGCGGCATTACTGTAACTCGGCTCAAAGTCTGTCAGCTGAGATTCCGCCAGATATTTGAAATCAGCGCGTTCTTGTCTACTCATGGGCGTGCTCAAATATTGCAGGATCTTTCGTCTTGGTACTTTTTTGCATTATCGAGCGAAGTATACGACGATATGAACGAAATGCAACGTCGGAAAAGCCGGATTGGTGTAACTTTCTTCATGCTTTCCCCAGCGAATTCTAATGTTGATATTTAGAACAAGCGAGTTCCAAGCTATCTATGGATATGCTCAAAGTCTGTAAAATCCCAATTTTCCCAATTTTTTGGTTCCTCATAGCGCCCTAATTAATCAGGTTGGCTCTCGCCACAGCCTTAGTGACCTCACTGTATCGATTTATTATTAAAGTTATCAGTATTGACGCATGATGTTGTTGTTGAAAACATAGAATTTGTAGTCTGTCTCATAATTATAGAATCATTTATGGCTTTCGTGAGTTTTTCGATTTGAAAAATCAAATTCAGTTTTCTGAAAAAAAAAACGGATAATTCGAAAAGTTGACTTTGTAACATAAGTAAAATAAGCATTGAAATGCTTTGTCAACAAATTCCTCTATTAGCCATGATGCAGGCTGATTTGGATGTTTGTGGATAGATCATCTCGCAGATGCGAAGTACGGATTTCAATGACTTATAATTTTTGATGCCACATGCCTAAAGCAAAATGGTTTGGAAATGGTATAGCCCAAGTAATGCTCTAAACGAGTGAATTGAACTGAGACTATTACATGTAAAATTCTTCAAGATACATGCACTTGAAATGAGGTGCGCATGCTCCACTGACAATGTGATGCCTCATTTCCAAGACCGTACAAAAGGTAGATTGACTGAAGAGTCAAAACTTCAGCTATGCTCTGAGTGGTACTGCTATTCATTTCTCATCTTGGAATATCCGATTCTGAGAAAAGGACCGTCTGGTGATCGGTGGAAGTGTGCAAAAAAAGATCAAATTTCTGAAAATTTCGACCCAGTCTCTCAGATAATCACCGGGGGCAAGCGGCCATGCGAATTTTGAGCAAGCGGGCACCGGAATAGTTCGCTGATTTTTTGTGGTCCGCTTGCAGAAATTTGGAATAATTTTGGCCAATTTTTAGACGAACGCTCGAAGATCTATCGCGGTTTTTCTATACATAAGTTGCGGCACAGTGGCCGCATTCTCGCGGATTTTCCGCGAGAACATGCAGGATTATTGGGAGCCGCACAGCCCTCAGGTACTTTCCGCTGAAAGAAAGTACCCCAAACTTGGGTAATAAAACCATCGATAGTACCTCTGCCACATAGAGTCTCATCTTTTCTCGGCGTACGCCCGAAACTGCATAAAAAGAGTCTGAGCGCCTGCTGAAAGTTTGGCCAGCGCTCGCTGAAAGAGATTGTTTGACGAGCGCTTACAGAAAATTTTGTATTGATGCCCGCTTGCAGAAAACGCAAATACCGCCCGCTGAAGATTTGGCCACGCCCCGAAATCCTGCTGACCGCCTGCAGAAAAGCGCGAGTTTGCGGACCGCCTGCCCCCGGCGATTATCTGAGCTAGTGTTCTATTAAAGCTGCTAACTTCCACATATTCTGAACCTCCGTGAAAAATGCTAATTGAGGATGTATGAATTGAATATCTCAGCGTCATCTAAATATCGCTCATTTTTGCATCTATCTTAATTACGGCTGCCATACCCCCAATTGGGTGCTCCTGCACCCAGATCTCTGTACAGTTGGATTCGCACGCAGAGGCATGTGTTCGCGGCTTAGCTAATTAGGAAACAGATTCGAATCAATCCGTTCGAGACTTTACTTTTGTTTGAACTGCTCTTGGAAGAACCGTTTGGTTCATTTCATTTCATTTTTCAAACGATTAACAGAAACTGATGGCATGAACATGCTGTCATATCTTCAGTATTTTTATACTAGATTGTCCGTCTTCACAAAATGTTCGATAATTTATTTTTTGGGTGGGCCATGGAACTTCCGTCGGAAGCCAAACGGTAATTTCAAAAATATCAAAATCTTTTTAACCCTGCGAAATTTCCATATTTTCGGAAAATGTATAATTCAGACCTTGGCATCGCAAGATCATGCATGTTTCTTTCATCATCTAAACATTCTACTGAATGGAGATGGTCAAGAATATGTCCACCCAAGTGACACCGCCATGACCAAGGGAGCGAAGTTATCGACGATGTCATCCAGCTATCGATTGTGACTTAGAGCGGACATGTTAGTATCTAGCCTGCAAAGAGCAATATGAGACCAGTAAAACTAGCCCAAATTAATGTATCTGTAAGTAAAAAATTTTAACACATTTCGGTTTTGCAAAAAAAACGAGCGCGATGATTTGGATAATGTGGAGAAGAGGAACATGAGTCAGAACGTAAGTGACAGATTCTTTTTTTTTAAATGAAAACGAAGATGGCATTACTTTATTACTAAGTGCCAGTAAACGTTTATACAGCTGTAACTGAAGTACAATGTAGCTGTAGCAGTCAGTATCGATATCTCACAATTATAACAATATTACGAAAAATCGAAAACTGGTGAGACCACAGTTTGATTTTCAGCAGGTACCACGCTCATGACTACATTTTTAATCCATTGACAAGGGCATGAGCTTTACTGGCTGAACAATCTTCGAAAAATTTTATTTTGGTCTTCGTTTTTATAGACCGTTATGAGTTGATTTTTCAACATTACTCTGAACTTTTGCCAATACTATCATCATTGGAAAAGCAGTCACATCCAGTACGCAATCAGAATCGATGTTGAAAATTCATGAAATTCTCATCCCAGTGAGTTAAAGTTAGTTTATTCTCCAGAAATTGATGGCATAAATTGATCCGAAAGTGTTGCTATAGATCGGGTCCTCTAAAATAGATATAAGGCATCTGGTTGTAAGAGGAGTGCCACAAAATATAAGTCAGATCTGAATGAACCACAAATAAACGAAGAAAGGCTCACGCGTCAGGTACCGAGTGAATAGAAAGTCAGTAATAATTGGCTGCCAAGTGACAATTTCAGAGTTGAAACTTAAACTGATGAAATATCATGTTATAAATATTAGACTCAGAACAAATTATACAACAAATGCGTCTACTGTTGCCAGAAACAGCGACTTTGACCTGCAAAGTTGAGCTCAGAGCTGAGAAATGGCATTTTGAAAATTTGGCATATCGAATCCTGCAATTCGGGGCATCACACAGAATGATCTACTTGATTGCTGAAAAGCTGCAGTGAGGAATTGTTTGGAAGGCAAGTCTTTTTTTGTTTTGGAACAAGTATTCATGAGTAAGTGAGTATTTCTTAGGTAAGCATCAGCACCAATGCATTCGTACTGTCTTCCCAGATGTTCAAGAAAGTTTGCGATCTTATCTAGAAACTCTCACCTTTGACCCCACCCACCCCCCCCCCCCCCTCCCCATAATCGTTTTTGTTCAATATCTTATCGTTAGCCGTAATTGTTGCTCAACATAAGGTCGCGGAACCGCCCATTTTTGACTGTTTTTAAATCTTATATCACCTTGCCACTTTGCATAGCCCAAGGTCGTTGTTACCGTTTATCGGCTAACGTTTCGGAGCTTCCGTCAGAGACTCAGATAGAAGAAAGTCCAATTCTCAGACGAACGTTCAGGCCAGCAATGACCATTTATGAATTTACTGAACAATGGCGATAACAATATTTTTGTTACAAGAATTTTGCCCTAAAAGAAACTTGTAAACAGAGACTGTGAGAAACTCTACGAATCAGTACTCCTTATTTGACAACGCTTGATTCAGCTTTGTGACGTATTTAACACGTTGACGACCGCGCCATTTTGGGCGAAACTCCCACTAACGTCCTTCGCGCATTTGGCCCGTGCATACGCGCGGATACACGAAAACATTATGTGGGAGTCCTTTTGACGCTTATTCATAAAACATGTGAACTTTGTTCAGAGATACATGTATATCATAGAGCCATACCAAAACTTACACAAATCAAGGTTTTTGCGTGGATTTTCCCTTCCAATAACCGCGCAATCGCTAAATTGGAGGAATTTCTTTTCAAAAAAAACCGCTGTAATACCAGATATTTTTTGCTTGATTCATCCTTTTTTGCTTTCAAAACAGCTTTACAGAGTTTTAACCTTCTTGGAAAAACGTAATTAGCATGTGTTTACCTTACCAAAAACCGAAGGATTACCCAATTTTGCGGCCCAAAATTCTGAACAGTTGCGCGATGCCCTGTGTTCTGTAAGACTATCAGGCCACCAGTAGTATTACTGCATAGAAGTTACCTCAAAACTTTTCGTTTACACCTAAGAAACTAGCGTGCATATGCGCGGATGCACGAAAATGCTAAACGGGAGTTAGGGCGTGCATACGCGCGGATGCATACGGTCGTCAACGTGTTAAGGCCGCTCGCGCCCGCGACGCACCTGCGTCTTTCTCGAGCGAGTGCTCTCTGATCATTACCTAGCCTTAACTAGGTCACGAAGCCAAGCCAGTTGAATCAAATGGTAGATCAGAGTTGCGTATTGCTGAATTAGCAAAAGAATCAATCAGGGGGAGAGAGGGAATCGAAAAGGAAGCATTGTGTCCGGTATGCACACGATAGGCTTCAAGTGAGGTGATGAAGATATACCGGTTATCCTTTCTTTTAATTATTGCGTAGGGAATTCCTATGCATAATATATTCAGCAAGAACCAAAGTGCAGTTAACTAGACAAATCAACACAACTAATTAGAAAGGGTTAACAATCATATGAATGAACTATGGCAAAAGAAGGTAGCTCTAAAACCATTTTGAACTGAGACAATCTGAAAGGAAGCATACCCTTTCTTATCATTTTATCTAGATCGCCGCTGACCCTATTTGCAAAGAATCTTCTTCTCACAGCTCTTGGTATTACTATTTTTGAGGTCCCCCTCTAGTAATAGAACTTCGAATCTCATAGATTAACAGGATTGAGTAGGCACCTCCAATAATATTTTGTGAGGAACAAAAAATCCAACTTTCGTCTTCTATTGGATACGCTGACAGTCCTAAGACCTTACTTCGATCCTTACCGATGGGTAAAAGTCCGTATTTGAAACCTTTAGTTCTGATCAACAACTTCCTTGTAAAGCTGTTTTGCACTCTTTCTAGTACTTGTACAGCTCGCCCCTTCGTTGGATTGAAGATTATTGTTCCGTACTCCATTAAAGGTCTGATACAAACTTCATATGTGCAACGTGTTCAACTAATTAAAGGCAGTGTCCGGGCAAAAACTCGATTTTGAGATTTTGTGCTTATACGGGCCTATTCGCCATGCTGAATCCGAAAATCCACATTGGAAAGCGCGAAAACGGCGAAAAGGGCTCTAACAAAGAAGGGAAATCAGCAGGTGGGCGGGGCTTTCCCCAGTGCGATTTTACGCTCCCAGCTCTCGGAGCGATTTTTTTCGATTCCGCTAGCCGTCCTAGCATCGCTACCGGTTAAGTGCGAAAGATTGACTTGAAAATCCGGAAGCGAGAAGGTCGCTCCGGAAGCCGGGAACGGAATTCGCACTGGGGAAAGCCCCGCCCACCTGCTGATTTCCCTCCTGTGTTAGAGCCGTTTTTCGCCATTCTGCGCTCTAAAATGTGCATTTTCGGATTCAGCGTAGCGAATAGGCCCAAGTAAGCACAAAATCTCAAAATCGAGTTTTTGCCCGGACACTGCCTTTAAGGCTTGTTCCACTGGAGAAATACTTCCTTGATTACAGCATCCCAACTAAAGGTCTCAGCTGTTTGTAATGCTGCCAGCCCTTTTTTGGGAGAACAGCAGACCCATGTCGAACTAGTACTGGTCTAAGTTGCAAAACACATGAATAGATATTGCTGGCTGACAGCCATTGATCAAATATGGCTTGAACAAAGTAATTCGTCCTCGTTGGCAGAAATTCTTTAATAGCTCAGTAAAGAAACTACCATTTGTCACTGCATAAAGGGAGTCATTGCACGCAGAGATAGAGGATCGCTATGAACGTCATGAGTGTCTTCAATCGCTCCTTTGTTCCTCGTATTGCCTGCTACCTCTTCCCTGGTCAACTCGCTCAATGGCAGGCAACTTCGTTTAATTTCTGCGTGCGACTCGCGTCTAACATCGGTAGACTCGTTGACAACGCCTTAACCTACTGTTTTAAAACATGATTCTCCACGCAACTTTGATGAAAAGTACGAAGTCGCGGTTGCCTTTTGACCAAACTTACGAGTGTTGCTTTTAGTTGTTTAAGATGCTCAAAGGTAACTGAGATCAAGGTGACATTATTTATTTTGTTGGTTAGTTACTATGTAACCATGCACGCTAAATGAGTAGTAACATTGACCATCTCCCAGTGGCGTACTCCCCCCCCCTCGAGAATGGGTCGTGAAATTTTTGAAAGTGACTTATGAGTTACAAAAATGTGCAAGTGACTAGTTTATACTTGTAAGTACAGTCGCTTCATTTCATATGATCATGTGTGCCATTGCACACACAGTCCACGTTGGCGTCCTCATCCTGGATTTGCAATCGCAAAAACGCAAGAGACTTACCGATTGTTATCGATTACATCAATTCGAGGTGACTAGTAATTAAAAAGGAAAGAAAATGCTAAGAACACCTTAGAAACACTTACCTGAAGGCTTGTTCTCCCACAAATCCAGGATGGGGACGCCAAAGGTGAACTGTGTGTGCAATGACACACATGATCATATGAAATGAAGCGACTGTAATTAGTATAATTTTTTGAGTTGAAAAAAAAATCCGTTTAGCCTCATAAAAATTTTTTTCCGTCAGCCACGCCCCCTTCTTCTGGAATTTTGTGGTTAGGGGTCCGCACAAATCTTGGGAATCATACCAAAAATCAGAAAATTTTTTTCGAGCTTTCCTCCCTCTCCCCCCCCCAATAAACGGAAATCCTGGGTACGCCACTAATATTTTCCTGTCTATGAAAGGAATGCGAAGAAAATTTCATAGCTGAGCGTTACAGAATACGATGTTCTCTATTATCAAGGTATAACAAACTGCTTAGCCAACTTCTCGAAGATGGGCTGTATAGTTTGTTTGCCAAATCTGTTGAAATGATTTTCTTCATCAAGATACATGAGATTCGTGATGGGGTTGTAACCAAGATATTGTCCCTTCTTATCAACAAGCATTGGCATGTAATCAACTATCTCACACTTTTTGCATCTGAAAAAAAAAACTTTTTGAAACATTTAAACGAAAAAAACATGATGGGTTGGCAAGACTACCTTTTGCTGAGTTCCCAAATTCGATGTCGAGCAAAGTACTCATCTCTTACTATAAGACCATCCTAAAAGTATAATATTAATATTTTGACTTCCATTGTGGAAGTAATCATACTTATTGTTAATTCTTGAACACGTCAATACACATAAGTAGAATTACCCTAATTTCCAGAGTATAAGGCGCATTTTCGTGCACCGCGCGCGGCCTCATTTGCGACGCCGCGAGCGACGTGCGACGTCGCGAAGGCCGCCAAGTGCCGACTTTTCACGATTTTGTGCAGTTGAATTTCTTGTAATCATGAGTTGTTTTGAAACAAATTCTTTCATTACATTCAGCACAACAAAAAGCAAAGACTCAAACACCCGTATTGTTACTACCTTCGAAATTCATTGAGTTAAAGCTAACTTGAGATCGTTTAAGTCTATATCTGTTGTCAAGGCTTCATTGAATCCATTTAAGATAGAATCGACACTGACTTAAACAACAGTAAGCGGCAGTAAATACGGCAGAAACCATAATACTCATCCCCTAGTGGAGAACGACCGAACCTTGCTTGGCTGCAACTCTTAAAGGCAGCGTTCACCCAAAATTGAGTTAGCTAATTTTCTAGATCTTTGAATACCGTGTATATACTGGGCCCAGAAGAAGACCGACTGGGTTGATCCGGTCTCCCAATGTTGCTTCTGAGCGGAGAAAACCTCTCTCAATTTTCTTTCAATCCGCCCTTTTTCTTTCACTCCGCCTCCTCCGGACGAACCCCCGACAGCGTAAGCTGCAGTTGCAGTTGCAGCTGCTGCTGCAACTGCTGTTGCATCTGCAACTGCAGTTGCAACAGTGCAGTTGCTTTTTGCGGTGCGCCTCCTTCGGGCGACGAACCACGACAGCATATGTAGGCTGCAGTTGCAACTGCAGGCTGTCATGCTGTTGCAGCTGCTGGCATGCCGACAGCGACGAGCAGTTTGAAACTCGTCCCCCCCTGAAGAGAGGGTTCCTGGAAATCGGGATTTTTTTGAGACTTTTGGAGAATGTTAATGTCATAACTGTAATCAGGCGCACGGAAAGGCCCTAAAATGGCAAAAAAATCGAAGGCGAAATTTTGGGTGTACGCTGCCTTTAAGCGCATTTGTCGCGCTTTCGCGCGCGGCAGGTGCGCCTTATACATAGGTGCGCCTTATACTCTGGAAATTAGGGTATTAATCAAATCAATTCTGACTTATGGCGTACGGAGCTTTGAGGTACAAATTTACTGCGAAGCACTGTTTGATTTAGACTGCGACATGGAAGTATTTTTGAAATTTTTTTTATATTTTGCAAATTTTCCCTTATTCTAGCAAACCCTGTCTTCCCACTACGTTTTCGCAATTAGCATGCTTACTCCAACACTTCAGTATTGTAAGAAACAGTTAGGTAGTCTGTTGGTTACTATCGTTATCTTCTCCCCGCAACTCCCCTATGTGTTCGAAGTTTGGTCAAGATCGGTCCAGATATGAAATTTTTATCGAAACACACACACACACACACACACACACACACACACCATATATATACATGCATGAATGCAAACACACACACACCATCTTATATATAAAGCTGAATGTCTGTTTGTATGTCTGTATGTGTGTATGTATGTCTGTCTGTCTGTACGTATGTTCCGAATAGAAAATTCCATTTCTGAACCGATCGGGACCAAACTTGGCACACATACACTTCGGGCCCCGGCGGGTGTCATAGGCTACTCTTCGTATCGATCGATATCGAATTTATCGATTTTTTGCAAAATTTGAGCTACGGGGCTGGGATTTGGCACAGGGGGGTAATCGAGCATGCTGATCACCCCCTTGGGGGTGATCAGCATGCTCGATTACACCCCTCTGCCAAATTCCAGCCCTCTAGATCAAATTTTGCAAAAAATCGATAAAATCGAGATTGATCGATAACGAAAAGTGGACTGTGACACCCGCCGGGGCCCGAAGGGTATGTGTGCCAAGTTTGGTCCGGATCGGTTGAGAAATGGAATTTTCTATTCGGAACATACGGCGGAGCCGGGTAAGCCAGCTAGTATATAATATACATGCATGAATGCAAACACAGACTGCTTTAGCGCTTTATAATAGTAAAATTAGAGTTGAGTTACGTAGAACCGTTATATATGTAAAAAAAGATGTATGTTCGCTACAGTTGTTTGAGCTCCATAGACCACAATTTCGCATGTGCCGATGTTCTAGTTCAACTGATTCCAAAAATTCCAGATTAGCTCTTTGTTTTCTCAAACACACATAGAGATAAAGCAAGGGAAATAACGCAAAGGGGCGGGAGCAAAGCTCGTTCAACAGTACTTTGATAACTGAAGCAACCTGCATGAGCACAGCATTGGGCATACATTCGTGAATTCATTGTTTTTTAACTTACTTTGATTGTACTCAAGGCTTTCCCATTTTTCAAATACAGCATAGCTTTAGCGGAGCAATAGGGTACACAGCTCGGTAGAGCTTGCAGGATATATATCTAAATTCAGCAACGGCTATTTTTATGAATCTAAGAATGCAAATGCTTCTTACCTTCTTCGTTTTTTTCTCTAGATATCTCAGTAATTTCATATAAAGACCAAAATTCTTATTTCTGTCAATTGGTTGCTTTACATTGAACGGTGTTTTCATAAGAATTGCTCTAATAATATAGTGTTGCTTTGTGATTCTCGGACAAAAATGACAAACTAACCTTTCAATCAAGAATACGACATCTGGCTTCAATTCCTCAACTATTTGCGTAAAGTTGAAGGAAAGCTGGCATATGGGAGAAAACAATTCACACCCTGCAAATATCGCCTATCATGCAATTTTTCTCAGAAATAATCTTTGTTGCTGATGTACCCGAAACACAAAATATGTGAAAATTTCTCGCATACGCTTTGTATGCGTTGTAAATAAGATCGCCCTGATTGCAAGCAAAGCTGTTTCCTGCGACCAGCATATCCACTGTACCGTTTCCTTTCTAAAGAAGATCCATTTACGTTGTTGCCTCAAAAATAGAGAACTCTGTAAAAACACGTAAAACAAGTAATTGCCAGAGTCGCTATCAGTTGTATGAGGGTGAGAATTATGCTGATGAAAAGTCAGATAAGAAAAGACTTATGGGACAACCTAATAAAACATGTAATTGCTAGAATATTGCTATCAGCTGTGTGAGGGTGAGATCATAGGTAATCTTTCCGTCAATGATATTCTTAATTAGAGTATTACTATTTCCGATGAGGTCATATAATAAATGCATTCTACATTTCATTCTGCTGTCAACTGCTAGCTAGCTAGCTAGCTCAGATCAGGGCGCCCGCACTGGCAGAACGCTGAGAAAAAACTTCATTTTCTTTAAATTGTTTCTCATTTCCAACAACAGTCATAGAGGCTTACATACTCAACATGTCAATTAAGCTTTAGATTTCTAGAGCGTGTTTGATGTCATAGCTGATTATTTACTTCCTAAAAAGATCAGAAACTAGCACAAAGTATGGATAGAGAAAAATTCCTTTGAGCATGATGCTACAAATGTACCGTCTGCGTCAGCTAGTCTGCTAGCGGGGCGGCGCTATCTTCATACCGTTTATCGAGGCCCGGGCACGCGGGGTTGCGACAATTGCCAGCTATTGTTATTATTGACATGTACTCATTTGTTTACTTGTAATTCCTGAAAATGTGCGTTTTTATTGACACTGTCGATGTCCGTCTCGAAAATCTGTAGGTGTTTCAGTTCTTTTTTTTTGTTTTTGTTTCCATAACGTAGACCCCGGCCAATTTCTTATAGGTAACTCCGCGGCGCACCCGCAGCGCGCGCTCTTCTTGATGCTTCTTACCTCCTCAGCAGTAGAGCATATACGCACACATAGGAGAGAATTGAAAGTGGAAAAGGTTCACTTTGCAAGAAACTTATGCAAGAATAAAACACACGCAACCTTTTTATTCACCTGTATCAGTATCCCCGTTGATTCTCGCTTGACAGAGCGGGATCCAGTGACGCTCCATTCGTCCCTGTCGCAAGCGATCGTTGACCAATGTCTTCTCGTCGCACCAGGAACACGAGGAAAGCTCTGCAGGAATTCTTTGAAGGTTTTCGTGAACGTGTCGGACCATGGAGTCGGCCGTTTTCCTTTTCGGTGTTTGACGTCCAGCGGTGTTCAATCCGTTAAGCTTTGGTCCACCGACTGTCGTCAAAACGCATCACGTGCCCGGCCCATCTGATTTCATTCTTTTAGCGTACGTTTGACGTGCGGCAGCATTACGGATTTTCGATCGTTAACGCAGGGCGGAGCTTTGTATTCCTTCTCTCACGTGGGGAGTCGGAAAACTCCTAACGTCGCGCTCTCAGCAGCGCGTTAGATGACGCTCAATGCATGTTCGCTCTGCTTCCTCATGACCCACGTTTCCGAAGCGTACGTCAAAACAAAGCAGGCAGAACCGTCGTGGTGAAGAGATGGGCGCGGAGTGGGTGTTCTTGGTCTTCTTCATACTTGATAGCTTTGTATGCTCCCCATGTTGCTCGTTTCCTCCTGCTCAGTTCCGAGGCTAGATCGTTGATCATGTTGACTTCCCAACCTAGGTAGACGTATCTAGAGCACTCGGCGATCATCATTCCATTCAGCGTGCGATAAGCATCAGGAACCTATCCATTTCTTATGAACACCGTCTTTTTAGCTTTAGACCGATCTTTCCACACACGTCGTCAAACTGGGCAGCATTCGTTCCGCTTGCGTGATATCTGGTGTAATCAGGTCAACAGCGAAGCGAAGGTGGTGTAGTTGCGTCAACCCACTCTAGTGTCCGCATGACTTTTCAAGAACAGCACTGAAAAGTTTCGGCGATATGGTATCGCCTTGTCATACTCCTCTCTTCACGTTGATGGTGATGTACTTGTAGAATGCTGTGATCTTGGTTGTGAAGTCGTTGTACAGCTCACGAATAATTGTGATGTACTGAGTACACCTTGACTGCTCAAGGCATCGATGTCTTCAGTCTCGACCAAATCAGATGTCTTCTCATGTCGATAAAGGTGAGACAGAGCGGCATCCTGTACTCTCGCGATACTTCGATGAGCCTTGTCATCGTATGTGGTTATAATATCTGCCGCATGACGAAGACGGTCGCACAAATAGGTTGAAGGAAGTCGCGCACGCGCGCGCGGGCAATTGTCAACCACCTGGCGTGGGGTGGAAAACTATATGTCGCCGAATTTGAAAGAGTCCCGCGCGGATTCCTTGGAGGAGCGCATGTTCGCGCATGTACAAGGGTGCGTATTTGTCGCAAATGAACGCAGGGACCGCCATTTTTCGGCGAAATATAGTCCTCTACCCCCGGGCGCGCGCACGCTCGGTCAGCGGTCATCCATTAGGGCGTGCGCGCGCCCCGTGGCTGACGATTGCCCGCACGCCGCGTGCGCAACAACCTTCAATCTAGATTAGTTCTCAGTAAGTTAGTAAGCGTTTCTAAGATTGTTATCCGTTTATGAATACATAGACAACGTAAACGGGTCGACGTTTCGGCAGGGTCGCCTTTTTCAAGACCTGAAAGGTGAGTCAATCAATAAATTCAACGCTCCAAGGGTAGACATACCTTCAGCGATACACTTCAAGTGGCTGTCCACCACTCTGACACTTAATCAGGCCACTATATGGTAAGTCTTGATCTATCTACTGATGTCGTGGTATTGATAAACGGATAACAAAAAAAAAAAGCTTGGAAACGCTTACTAACTTACTGAGAACTAATCTATATTGAACACAAAATGCCAAGATTCAAGGATGGTCGAGCATGGAATAGCCTTCAATCTATTTGGGCGACCGCCTTCGTCTCTTTCGATCATGTTTTGGATTACTCGTGTGAAGAGTTTGCAGACTGTAGACAATAAGCAGATAAGGCGATGATACCTGATGTCGCGGGGGTTTCGCTTCCTGCTTCTTTCTTCTTGTTGGAATCGTGCCCAGGGCCGGGCACGAGTCGGTTTCTAGGGCTTCTAAAAACGCAGTCTCCCCTGACTTTCGAAAGTTCTATGAAGTTCCCTTTGACCTATTTGCTTAGGAGAAGATGAAAAAAAGAAAGACTTACTAGTCTGAAAGAAAAAACGTAAGATAAGAGTGAAAATCCATCTTGGAGCTGAATACTACGCTTGCACAAGAATTTGGCATTGGAACGCGATATTTCACAAAGCAGTAATGAAAAAATGAAGGCAAAAAACAAAGGAAAGGCAATTATATGAAAGTGTCTTCATGTTCAGGGATAGATTTATGACCGGGGAATCCGTCCATGATAGAAAAATCCAAAACTTATGTGAAGTGACAGAAATATATGCTCCTAGAGATGCGATAGGTAGAGAAATTTCTCTGACCCCCTTCACTTTAGGGCCGGCATCTGCTCAGATAATCGCCGGGGGCAGGCGGTCCGCAAACTCGCGCTTTTTTGCAGGCGGTCAGCAGAATTTTGGGGCGTGGCCAAACCTTCAACGGGCGGTACTTCCGCGTTCTGCCAGCGGGCAGCAATACAGAATTTTCTGCGAGCGCTCGTCAAATAATATCTTCCAGCGAGCGCTGGCCAAACTTTCAGCAAGCGCTCGGACTCTTTTTAGGTATTTTCGGGCGTACGTCGAGCGCAGGTAAGACTCTATGTGGCAGAGGTGTCACCGTTGGTTTAATTACTCAAGTTTGAGGTACTTTCTCTCAGCGGAAAGTACCTGGGGGTTGCGCGGTCCTCCACAAAGGAACGTGCGGCCCTCGAAATTTTTGCATATTTTCGCGGAAAGTCCGCGAGGATGCGGCCACTGCGCCGCAGCTAATCCATAAAGAAACCACAATTGTTCTTCAAGCATTCGTCTTTAATTTTGCCAACTTTCTTCCAAATTTCTGCAAGCGGGCCGCAAAAAATCAACGAACTATTTTTCCGGTGCGCGCTTGCTCAAAATTCGCATGGCCGCCTGCCCCCGGCGGTTATCTGAGTGGCTGACCCCTTTCACCTGAGGTTGAGACTAGAATCAAGGCGTAACGCAGAATCAAACAGCTGTTACAATGACACTTTTTGTTTGGAAAAGAAATGCCAGCTGCTCTTCTTCTCAGACGTCAGGACTGCAAGAAAGTATCGAATCAACGGCGTTTTGTTGAAAACACGCATTCTTGAGACCTTCTGCGCACTCAAAGTGACGTTGCTAGCGAAACATAATCAAAAATCAAAAAATGTCTGATCCTTTGAATAATTAACATTGCATCAATAAATACACACTGTCTCAAGAAAGAGTTAAGCCAGAGTAGAAAATTTGGACTAGCTCGTGATGGATGCATGTTTGCTGACAATAATCGTGCCATATCTCCTTTCACTAGAAAGAATAATAATAAATAAAAAAGCATTTAGATTACTTGTTTCTCAAGCTTTCGAATCATATATAAAAGTTCGAAAAGAACATCTTGGTTTAAAAGATAATTATCCAGAATTGGCTGATATTGTAGCTAGATAAAACTGCTCGTATTTCGCTTCACAGAAAAGCTAGGAAAAAAGAGACGGTCTTCATCGATTCCTCGTGTTCTTATTTATCGAATGGTATATGAAATGTTGGTGCACAATGCTTTCCCAGTCTAAAAAAGTCTTGCTCCGGCGACCCATAGTAAGCCGGAGCGGGGTGGAGCAAGTTAGTATTGGATAATACCTATATTGATATTGGATACCTCCACCTCATTTTTGTAAAGCCACAAGTATTTTCACCCAACAAGCTATGCACCATTAGAAAGCCCACGAAGAAGTGATTCGACTTAGAGCGTCTCTTTTTCTCTAGCTTCCCTGTGCCTAAAGATACATGGCATTTTAGCTAAGAACGTGTGTTTTTGTCAAGCAATTCCTGTGTAAAGAATGAATGAAGGTGCCCGATTGTCCAACAATATCACAGAGCAAGACCTTGCCAGAAAACGTAGATCGTCTCTTTTTTTTCTATCCTTGTCTTTTCTTTCAAAAATGAAGCACAAA